TATGCTTCGGCGTCCAATTGCTGTATACGTCAACGATGAGCCAACGCTCAATGAACTACTTAATAGCAGCTGATAGTCGCTTTTCCGACACCCCTCCGTCTGTTTCTTCGTAGCAAGTACTAGTAACGGTTAAAAATTCACCACTGACATAGTTTATTACATTGTGTGGCAAACCAAATCCGCGAATTTTAGTTAGTAACTCTCTTCATCCTAACACATTGTTTGTCTTGCAAATACTCCACTTTTCTCCTCGACTGTATCCGACTTGCAGGGAGGGAGCAGTCACCATCCCAGTATGTTTGAGCAGTGCATGCATGCTTGCTGCCCTCGAAGGTATCCGCGTTATAAAAAGTATCTGGGATCACATTAGTCTGTTCATGTTGACCAAGCTGCATAGGAAATCATTTAAATATGTTGACTTGCTGATTTTTGCCTCAAAATTGTGTAGAAACGGGGAAAGTCCTCTATTAAGACCTGCAGTGCAGACATCGTTTAGACAAAAAGCAGCCATGTCCAAAAATCCAATCGATCTTCCAAAGTTCAACGTCGCAAAGTTTGATATTCGTCTTCCACGTTCGGTGATTTTAGCCATTTATACGAAATTACATTTATACCACTTACTGCGCCACTGCTCCACTTCTGTCAGAGCGCTAGCCTTAAGACAGTACCCCTACACTGACCAGGTTTTAGAAAAACGTTTAACCCATCGAGGTATTGCTTGCGTCTATGTGGTGCTCTTGATAAAAGACCCCTTTGCTTTCACTTGGTTGATCCGAATTTTGACCCTGTCGTTTGTTTGACGTGATTCCAAGACCCGTTCGAGCATATTTTACTTTCTGTCTCAAAGTTGTAGTTCACTGACTGACACTGATTTGTGCTTTCGCTGCTGTTTCTAATATAGGCTGAACCCTCAGTAAAACATCACTTCCTCAGGAAATGGCTCAAAGACAGCAGCCTCGGCGCTGATGTCGACATTCGCAGCATTCTTGACTGGAACTACTACATTGAACGATTGGGCAGTGCCATCATGAAGATAATCACTATCCCCGCCGCCCTGCAACAGGTAAACAACCCGGTGCCGCGCGTTCCTCACCCCGACTGGCTGCTTAAACGTCTCGCTGAAAAGACGGATACTTGTCGTCAGAGCAAGCTGACCGACCTTTTTGCTCCAGCCGTTGCCAGCAGTCGAATCACTGTGGAAATCGAAGACATTGGCGCCACCGGTTCTACATCCCATTCCACCTCGGTACCCAGAGCCACCCATCTTGCGTCTCCACCGCAGCAGAACATGGGAGGACGCAAGAGGTCTCTGGTCCCTGCCCTCGCAAAACCGACAGGCCCTCCACCGGCCTGGCGTGAAAGTCTGGGTCAACCACCAACTCTCAACGAAGATTCAGGTCGA